TGATATGGAATTGTTTATTCCTTCAACTGAGCTGTTTTCAAATACTGAGTTATTTTCAGTGCACCAGATCATATTGAATCTCTTAGTGTGCTGGTATATCCTAGCTCTCTCATGACTGTAAAAGTGAGTATTTCCTGGGTTTTATTTTTGTTTTCAGAAGGCAGAGGTTGTATATTTCTCAATTAGAGGACAATCTCTGCATGATTTAGAAACTAAATATGGGATGTTGCAATAAATGACAGTTGTTTCTAAATGAAAAAAAAAAGCTTTAAAAAATGGTTATGAAGCACACAAACTCAACTGACTTGCATGGAATTAAGTTTCTAATTTCTGCTTGTCATGAAATTTAAGCCAAAGTTGCTTTCTGTTTTATTGTATTTAGATACTAAACAGTTACTTGGAAACATTATAAAAAATTTGCTCTCTGATATGCAATAAAGTGAAACTGTTTAAACTTCCAAACCTTGATGAAGTTTTCAAGCTACTGAAAAATGTGTGTTCAGTGCACTGTGTTTGTCATTTTCCTCTCTAGCAATTAGCACAGGTTCATGAATGTATGAATAAACTTTCTGCTACAATTGTAGCCATCATTTTTCTCCTGTTTCATCTTGTCTGTGCTAAAATCTGTAATGAATTTTTATACCATCAACCAAGTCTGTGACAGAAGCAAGGACAGAACAGAATAATTGACTACTTCGACCACAAGGCCAAATGTTTCCTTTTTTTCTGTACTTCTAGCTCTCAGTCATTCCGTGCTTTCTGGCAAAGCAGGCAGTAGTGAAGGTTGAGAGCAGTCACTTTTCACTCAGACCCAGATATCTACCTCCAGAAGGGTCTGAAGGAGGTTTCACTGGGATTCATTTACATGGGGGAGAGAGAGACCTCATGATCTCACATCCCACGAGCCTGAAGGATCCAAGTGAGATGGGGAGGAAGGAGCAGATACTTGAATCTGGGCTTTCCATCAATTTTCAAAAAATATTCTTCTTACCATGATGTCTGACACATTACAGACATGACTTCTTTTTTCAGTTTCTCTTGAACTCTGAAAATGCTGAAAAAAACCCATTTTAGTTCAAGATGAAATCTTGACATATTTTGCATGAGGGGAAAATGGTTTTCTATGTGCCTGTAGTATGAGAGTATGTCATTAACCCTTCTTCTCTCCCGAGCTAAAATGAGGCTGTTCCACAAGCAGACAGAAGCAGGGATAGGTCTTGTTTCTTATGCTGATGGAGTTAGGTATTAACTGTACTTGTTTACCAGGTGCTGAAATCCATCGCTACAGAAGACACGCACATAATTTTAGGCATGTCCCTCAGGGAAGACAGTGGGAATTATGGATTGGTTGGAAATACTATCTTGAGTGCTGATGTTTTTTTCAGATCCTTAGAGTTTTCCTTCATGCTTTATGAAAGCAAGTTGTGCAGAGAGCCATTTCAGGGGAGGGCTACTCCTATTTTTAGTAAAATTCCAAAAAAGGGAAGCAAAAAAGAAAGAGGCTTCTGAGCATATCTGCTCTCACGATTGCACCATCAGGGAAAGAAAGAGCACAACCAAATGTCTGGCAGCTACCAGCCTGGATGGGGTTTTTCCCCTTTCTGCTTTATGTCCCCCCCAACTCAAAAACAAACTCTGTAAGAGGCAAACCTGCCTTGTAATGTTTATTTTGTTTCTAGAAGGCAGATTCGTTTAAAGGGGAAATATTAGTCCTTTTACTTCCAGGCTGATTTTCAGCATTGGCCTGTTTCATTGTAAATACCAAAAGAAAGACAAACCATCTTTAAGAAAAAAAAAAAAAAAAGGCAGCAGAAGCAGACTTGAACTAACATTTCCAAGAGGCTCAAATATTTTAATGAAAACAATCATTTGACCTTGTCAACTTTGAGTAATCTTATTAGATTTTTTTTTCACTGTCTCCAGCAGCCTTTGAAAAAAATAAGTTACATTTCAAAGAGATGCATAAGATGAGCTGCTATTCTTAAGGAAGGTCTAAGAACAGTGGGGTGTACACTATTAGGCAAAGAAGCCAGCTACACAGAGCCAGAGACCTGTCCTTGTACTCATCCCCTTCCACCCTGCCCCAGCCTTTCATTTCTGCTCAGGGATATTTGTGTCTGCAAAACAGGATATTCAGCCAGACCTTCCAGCAACCCTTGGCAATCTGCATGGTTTGATGAAGTCCAGTGACAGTCTGTATATCCTCAGTTCAGGGAATATAATGTCCTGGTGGGTAAAAACTAAAATTTAAACCCAAAAAATTGTACCTACATAAAAAAAAGCAGTGTCCTAGCTGAATGAAGTGATCAGTTCATGTTCTCTGCTTTGCTGCTATGGAAATCTTCACTGAGGTGAGAATCTTTTAAACTGGCTTAAGTATAGTTGTTCCAGTATGCATGGACCTTGCCTATTAAAACTAAGGTACTGCAGCTAATACACAATGTCAGCCAAGAGGTGATCTTTGAGTGAAAATTGTTCTGGATTCAGGAATTTGCTTTTTCTATTCTGAAAAATAGCACCAGTATCTGCAGCCCGAGATGGCACTTGACAAATGGTGCTTTTTCTTCATCCTTGTTGCTCTTTTTTCACATCAGGCTTAATGGAGTGTGGAAGCAATCAAATTCCTGTCATTGTAGCTTTTATTAAAAGCCATTGCAGCTCTGAGAAGAGACCCAAGAACTATTTCACTTCAGCTTAGAGAAAAGCAGAGAGTCTGATGTTGAATACAGCACGCGCACAAACAAAAATGTTTGCTTATTTCTGAACCATGTAACCAAGTGAGTTTACATGGGGTTATGCATCTAATGAGTAACTAATGGGTTATTTCCATTAATAGGGATGTTTAAAGGTAGATGAGAGGCCAGACTCTACAGACCTTCCAGCTGGAACCTGATCATATACATAGTTTAATCCACATAACGTGGCTCCAACCTGAAATAAGAGTTTCGGCTCAGGTGTGACCACACCATGACAAAGAGGAAAGCTGCTCTGCAAACACCACTTGCTGCCTTTGCTTGTACAGCTCGGGCAGGAAAGAGGATGTTGGAGCACATTTGCTGTCACTTTCCACAGCAGCCAGGGTACATGTCACTCTCTTGGTGACCCAAAAAGTAATGTGTCCCTTTAATGAGTAATTGTGCTCTTTGAAGGCCTCAGTTTAAAGAGGGTTAAGTCCCCATGGAAGATGTGGCAGGACAGATACCTTGTTTACAGCCTGGTAGGCCAGTAATACTGGAATAAACACCTCACAAGTACTCATCTAAACCTTTAACTAGTTCTGTTGGGCTGGCTGTTGTCAAAGAAAGGCTTCTTTGGGAAATATCCAACTATTCTTTTTTGTTTCAGCCATAAGTACTGTGAGAATATCCTACCTCTCCATTTCTGTGCTTCTGGTTGCTACAAAATCAATAAATTCAGATCATATAAAAGCCAAGCATACTTTTAGGGAAAATTACTAAAAAAAGGAAAGAAGGTGGAAAAAACTTTCCTGTATTAACTTCATGAAGCTCTTCAGAATGAACTGAATAAACACCATTGTTGACAGCTAAGCCATTAGATATTATTAAAGTCCTTTGGTCTTTTCACGTCCTATACCACATCACCTACTATCTCCAGTTACTCTAAAAATCAATCTGGCTGTTGTTTGAGCAATAGCATTAGACTCCCACAGTGATTTTGCAACTCATGGCTCCTGAGTTTCATGAGGCATCACATGATGTGTTCCAGGATATCATGCACAGCTTGTAGTTGCTGCAACCAAAAGGCTTTAAATCAAAAAACTGGTTTTATTGGTCTGGTGAAATTGGAGGATATTTTGCTGCTCAGTGTCTTTCTAATTTGAAATAATTAAATAAAGAAGAGAAAAGAATGGACCAAAAAATTCAAAACTTTTGCATCTGTTATGACTGTCACTAGGCACCTCTGTATAGTCTGCCAGACACTCAAAAGCACTTAGCACATGCTGCTTCCGTTGGAGGCAATAACATCTTAAAATCCAGACTACTTCAATCATGCTGCCTAGTTCAGTATAAGAAAATAAGAAATGTTCTTTCACAGCAGAGGCCATTCTCTGACCAAGATGCTTAGAATAGCAGGCAAAAAGAGAGTGCTGTAAAAAGAATGAACTCCTTCACTTCAGGAATTCAGTGGTTTGAAGGCATCCAGACTGCTGCATTTAATGGCCACCACTATACATAACTCCTATGAATTTGTCCTTTTGATCCTGTTTGTGTTTCTGTATTGTAAAACATTACTTGTTTGTGAAGGTAGATTATAGATGTTATATTTAACCTGGTGTTTCTATTATGCCTGCTGTCTGGTAATTTAATTGGGTGGCCTCTAGTTCTTGTTTTGTAAAAAACACTTAAGAGCCATTTTCTCTACTGTTCTTCTACTTACCCTGCACAATTTGTAGAACATAGTCTTCCAAAATTTTATGGATCCAGATTCCAAGTTCTAAGCCATATTTTTGTAGCTATGACATTTTCTTTTGAGAATATAGCAAAAAGTTCTCCCTGCTTAAGGAAGAGGATGAGGTAGAGGGGTAGTGCTAATACTTGCTTTTGGTATATCGCTGTTACTTTGCGAGCTCACAAGTGGTATGAGAAGCAGCACATGGTGTTAACTACCCTACTTTTAACTGAGATCATTCTGCATTGATTATGCTGGAAATCTGAGCAGAAATTCAGTATGAGATGGGTCTTGGCCCAGTGTTTTCACCTGTTAAACTGCTGTAAGGAATGGATGATGACAGATTGTGGGAGAAGTGTAGAAGATCTATTTGATTCTTTTAAAAGTTCCAGCTTCAACTGTGAATATTCTGAGGATCATCCAGGATGATAAAAGTGGTTTTTAAAGGTATTTTTCATTCTTTAGTTTAATATGCTGGAAGAACATATTATATTTTCAAGTGCCAACAAAGCATGGATGTTTGTGGTTAGTGTGGTTACCTTGCAAAGTCATCTTTGAATTCCCGTGGTTTGTTGTTTGTTTTTAACCAGGTGAAGCAACAGTGAAGAAGAAACCAGCTCCAAAGACTCCTCCAAAAGCAGGTAATGTGTTGCATGTGTCACCCTCATTCACCAGTGCAGCTGTTTGCCTTCTAAGTTTGTTTACATCTGTGATTAAATGGTAGGTAAATCCAATTTGCTAACTTTGTACTAAGAATTAAATTATGAACATCCAAAGAAGTTACTCTCAGATGGAGTATAGCAAGATCCTACAAAGTGTCAGTAGTGTGTAACTTATCTCCTTTCGTATATTCACAACAAACCTTGGCTTTCTGAGAAAAAAAAAAAATTTCTGTGTATCACAGAATCCTCTGCATGAGTAGCTACCACAGAAAAGGTGATAGATTCTACTTTTCCTCATCACTGCCATTATGGTAACCTGTTTGTGTGTTTGCAGTCTCTGAGGCAAAGCTATCTATAGTTAAAGTTACAATGAGTTTTCTCCTCTAGGAACTTCTTTTCAGTGTCTTAAAACTTCACCAGACTTTGAAACCTTTCAAGCTGCTTTCTATGCCAAATATACACCTCAGCCTAGTTTCCTTCAGATATTTTCAAAACAAAAACGCTTTTAAAAAGTCAAGTCTAGAGCAGGGGGAGCCCACTTTGCTTTAATTGCTTTGAAAAGGAAAAGAAAGCACTTTTTTTCATGCCCAGTATCCCTGTGCTTTGTAAAGAAGGTTACATATGGCAGTGAGGTCATTGCAACATTAGGGAATGCCTCTTACCATTTCTGTCAGTATGTCCTCTAGTGTGTCCCCTTCAATACACACACACAAGAATAATTTCTTTATCATGCTGCTTTTATAAGCAGCAGTATTGTTTTCACCCTGGAACTGTCCAGGCTGTGATATTTCTGGCCTCTGTGCTTAGCTGCTACCAGGGGTCTGACACTCAGCAGCCCAGCTGAGAGCTGGGAAGGAGCACTGTTAGCAGGAGATGCTCTGCCATCTATTGATACTCAGGCAGTGAGAGGGAACAGAAGGAGGAATGCCTGGTTCATGAACAGAGGGGAATGAATGGGACTGCAAGGTTTAAAAAAAACCACGGAGATACAAAAAGATCCATCATTGCTCATGGCAAAATTGATTGTGATTGAGAAAGACATCAATTTCCCTCCTTGTCTCTCATTATGTTTCTGTGCCACATAATGTTTATCTGGCTACTGAGATGACTATAGGCAGATATTGAGTCTTAAATTTTATGAATTCTGTTGATGACATCAGGGAGCAGGTTTGCAGACCCCCTCAGCACATGCAAATTGATAAAAAGGTAGCTGGAGTCATTCTTCAAAAATAAAAAGTTCAAAAGAAAAATAAGATTTTTCTGAAAAACCCACAACAAAATTTCATAAACTGTGTATTTGGAATTGGTGGTAGATGCCAATGTTTTTGTCTTTTGGATGTCTGTACCTTGGTCTTGCATGAGCAAACTTTGGATGGGTAAATTGTTATTACTTCACTCCCCTAGAATTACCAGATCCACGGAATTTTTTTCATTGCAAGTAACAGGTAACTGCTAATCTGCATTTCAAATGCTGCTCTGAAACAGTTGAGCTGAGAAATGTACGTGTTTTGAATTTTAAGAAAACTTAGAGTCATTTAAAGGGTTATTTAATTTATGTTATTTTTTGCCTTCAGCTGCTCCTCCTCAGATTACTCAGTTCCCAGAAGACAGAAAAGTCCGTGCAGGTGAATCAGTGGAATTGTTTGCCAAGGTGGTGGGAACAGCACCCATAACTTGCACCTGGATGAAATTCCGTAAGCAGGTAAATTGTTTTCTGGTTTCTTTCAACAATCACTGAAAAAGCTGAGCTGGAAAGGACCATCAATGACTATCTCCCATTTTTCCATCTCCCTTCCTGAGGAACTGGCAAAGTCCATCTTGTTCCTGCAGATGTTTTCCTCACCTCTACTGAACACATTTCATTGATGAAGATTTCACAACCTCCATCAGCAAATGATTGCAGTGTTTATATAGCCATGGGGTTAGAATTCTTTTCCTAATGCCAAATGTAATTCTTTCTTGCTACAGTTCAGACCTTTTGCTGCCTGTGCCCTCCTGTAACAAATGACAATTTCTTTGTGAAAAGTCTTAGACCATGAATTAAAGGATAAGTGATGGGAAAGATACAGATATCTGAAAAGTATCTATCACAGGGGACATTTCTCTCCTTTGAAAATGATCCCTTCTTTGTTGATGATGGGTCTAAAGTTATGTCAGAGGGGCAAAATACCATATAAAAAACTTGAGTGAATTGTCTTGCAACACAAATGTCACCATACAGGGCACAACAAAAATCCATGCCATCAGTGCCCTCAGTCCTAGCTTTAAAGTTCCTAAAGAGCAGTGTCTAAAGACTTAGAGTTGCTTTAACAAAGCCATTTAAAATCACTTTAAATCAAACAACCCAATATGCAAGTTCAGACTGGAAGATGAAGTGTCACGTTAGGACAGAGCAAATATAAATATCTACTGTAGCTGCTGTTCTGTTTATTTCGTTCTGAACTTGTTATGCACTCTATAGAACACAAACAAAAACATCTCCTCCTAGAAGGAAGTTTAGACTCTAAATCCAGACATGTCAGCATTTAATTGAAAGAATTCAAAACAGTTTTTTAGTGCAAAGGGTATTCCAGAGTCTGTCCTTGCTAACTCCAAATAACCTCTTACTTTAGGGGAAAGGGTGGGTTTTTTCCTGAACTCTTATATTTCCTTAAATTTCTTTAGCTTCGAGACTGGAGTTAACCACTGCTTTCCATAAAAAATAGGTCTCAAAAGCTTCAGTGACATTCAGTGTTTGATTTTGCTAAGCTCTGTCTTGACATTTAGGTAAAATGTACCCCTCAAAACTGAGTTTCTAGTTTGTGGAGAATTCTGAGTTCATTGTTGAATACAGCAATCCTATTTACCTAGATTTTAAGGCCTTTTTTATATGCACAATCTATGTGATAATGGCAGTTAATATGTGATAATTAGCAGCTCCTAATGCCCATATCAGATCCATAACCTGTGCTTCATAATATTTTTCTCCTTTGTAAAATGCTATTTTTACCATCTTTATACTTTCTTCTTTAGCTATCCACTAGGAGACAAGTGAAATATTGCAAAATCATAAATTAAAATGACCAAAAAAAATCTAAATTATTCATTCTGGTGAATGAGGTACAAAAGGAAAAAAAAAGTTCAGGAAGGTTACCAGACACTTGTAGGAAGACAAGTGAGGGCAGCAGTCTCTCAGTTATTAATGTAAAAGGGGAGCCACTTACTGTGTCCTGTGCTGCACCATAATTTTGCTTTATTTTTCACTTACACTTCACCACATACTGTTTTACACTTGGATTTCTTGCTTTTCTATAACTGTGGTTGATTTCAACTCTGTTCCATTCCCAGTCCTAAAAGTAAAAACCAGCCAAGTGTTTTGACAGTTTACTGGGAGTTATTTGTAGTTTTTATTTGAGCTGATCCAGCAAGTGGTGAGCTGTGATTTCAGCCCTGCTGCTGTTTGCTGCAGCTTCCTCTCCGTGGCTCTTCCTCCCATTCCCTCAGGTGCAGGAGAGCCACAGTGGCCTCTCTCAGTGGCCTCTCTATCTCTTTTGGATATTCCAAAAGAGTTCCTCTAGCTTGTAGAAAGGGCATGTCATGAATCTGTGGCCCATACTGTTGTAGGCCATGGCAATGCAGTGGAGGGGTTCTGGAACTGTGCTGAGCTGAAGAGGGGACAGCCTTGGAAAGCCTCTTCATCAGCTGAGTCCATCACTGAGCACTGCCAGCTGTTGAAACTTCTCAGCTACAACCAGTGACTTTATTTCAGGATCCCAAAGATCCAACCCATGTTCCCCACAACCACTGCAAACCACTGAGCATCCTTTCAGGGCTGTCTCTGCATCCTTTCAGGGCTATATTTGCATCCTTTCAGTGCTATCTCTGCATCCTTTCAGGGCTGTCTCTGCATCCTTTCAGGGCTATATTTGCATCCTTTCAGTGCTATCTCTGCATCCTTTCAAGGGTTTCTCTGCATCCCTTCAGGGCTTTCTCTGTATCCTTTTGGGGCTTTCTCTGAATAATGCAGATCTAGTTCTACTATCACCCCTTGACTAATTTTAATGAAGCAAAATATAAAGACAGTTTAGAATCTCAGAAGTATGTTGGCAGGGTAGAACAACTTTCAGTAGAGTTTAACCCTACATAATCCCATTTGCTAACTTTTTATTTGAGTTATTGTAGGAAAATCTTTCCAAAGTTACTTTTGGGCAGATAGCCGTGCATGTGTTTTGTCTCAGTTGAGGAAAGAGCAGGGAAAGTCCTGTTCTTAAACTTTTGATTTCTTCTTCTCTGAATATATGGGACAAGATAAGGCAAACTAAATAGCCTTCATTTTTAATTAAATTCTGAGAATGGCTTGGAAGAGTCACTTATCTAAGAAGGAAGTGGTGGGAGGAAGAAGGGCATTGACATTTTGTTGTCTGTTTCATAAGAACACAGTGTACAGCTTCTGTAATTGCAGTGTAGCATTATGAGGTTTTTAAAGAACTGTCATGTCTCAAGCTAATGCTGATTAAAATCTAAGTCACCTTGGCCATTTATGCTATGATAGCTCTGTTTCAATTAAAAACCAGTTTATAATATGCCTGTGGTATTCAGCAGAGATTTAGATTTTTCCTTCTCCAGAAAATTAAAATGCTATGGGAAAGCTCAATATGCTCTTTGAATGTCTCTCTGTACAGCTGTAGTGTTGTATCTCCATTTCACACAACATTGTCTTCAGCTGTTCAAACCCAAGAAACCATTACCCTGCTTTGTGTGGAAGTACAGAATAAAAACTAGAGGGCAGAAGTCCCAGCTGTGGATGGTCTGCACATTGGGCCTCTGAGGGTGATGGCAAATGAACAAAGGCTAAACCCTTGTTCCACTGTGGTTTCTCTAAGATATGTGAGACCAAACTTTGCTCTTTTGACAATTGCACAGTTTGCACTTTCAGCCTGTCAAAGAGAAGTTAAAAAGTGACACTCTGGTTCCTTAGTGAGGTTCCAGCAACACCAGTGCTCCCTGTGGCCTTTGCAGGACTGGAGCCCTTATACTGTTCCACTGCATTTCTAGATGATTTGTGTTTATTACACAGTTTACCAGCTGCACATATTCACTTCTGTAATAGAGTTATCTGCAGGTAACACTCATATGATAACACTGTATTTTGCTTTGACCTCTTTCAGATACAAAGAAATCTATCACATAATTTTTCTTTTAATTTGGCAGATTCAAGAAAATGAATATATTAAAATTGAGAATGCTGAAAACAGCAGCAAGCTAACAATATCATCAACAAAGCAGGAACACTGTGGATGTTACACTCTAGTTGTAGAGAACAAACTTGGCAGCAGACAAGCACAAGTCAACCTTACAGTTGTTGGTAAGTCCAAATTAATATTTTATTGATATTCATCAGACATCAGTCTACATTTTCATTTTATATTATGATATGCAACAGGTTAAATAAAATAATCAGTTAAATTAAGAAGACTGAAATAAAACCTAGTACTTCAAAAAATGGACAGTGACATTGTAGTAAGGACTATAAGTAAGATCAGTAGGGCCATACTGTGTTTATTTGGAAAAATTCCTAATTCCATGGTGATGAAAGTATAAAATAGGTAAAATAGCTCATACTTAAAAAGGAATCCCCCCACAAGATAAAAACAGCTCATGGCTCCATTTTAAATTCCTACCATGGTCTATTGTTTCACAGGGACAGAAAGCAGTGAATAAAGACAGTCTGTTTTAAATATTTTGGAACCCTTCATCTGTGGACTTTTACACAGATATTTTAAAGCTTGAAGATATTTTAAAGCTTAAAGGTTACACTCCCAGGTCATCAGGTTTGTTGTAGCAGACTGTGGACAGCTGCACAGACTGCAGACTGGCAGACAGTTGCAGTTTATTTACAGGTAAAACTGCAGCATAGTGAGGATCAGCCAAAATCTAGATCTGTGGCATCTGGCTCTGGAAGGGCTAATTGAACCCACATTGATAGGGATGCTTCAGGGAAATCCAGGGAAGTTCTGCAAGCCAAGATGTGATTTGGCTAAAACATTAGTCTGTGGGATGGGTCTGCTTCTGTGCTCGGTTGCCTGCAGAGGGATATCACATAAGGTGGTGCCCTGACAGCCACGAGGGTGTGAGCAAGGCAAGAAATGTGGGTCTAAGGACATAGATTAATGTCTGACTCCAATGAAACCAATGGCAAAATACCTTTAACCCAAATTGGACTGGAGATTCATTCCAGCCATCCAGTGAATACCATATGAGGTTAATGAGTACGGTCACACTTTCAGGTGCAATATCCACTGAAGCAGACTGAATGTGACTCAGTTGCTTGTTGCACTACATATTGTCAATAGAGGCTTCCTGATTATTTAAATTAACTCCTTTAATCCAGCTAAAAGATAACTGGATGAATGAATATAAATATCAAGTGGATTCCAGCAACATGCCAAAGAATTCAAGAACAGAAGAAAATAGAGTCAGTATTTTTCCCATGATGCATAGATAAATTGTACTACCCCTTCCAACAGTGGCTTGTACAAGTCAGAAGTACAGCTAGGTTAAAAATGAACACCACTGGTCCTTGAATAAACACATATACTGCTCTGGGTATAGGTTTTGGCCTCAAAACCCAACACAGCTGATTAGCAGCTGGAAGAATGGCAGGAGATTAATTGCTCTTTACATTTCCCTCCTTTTCATTCTTTCCTAGGCAACTGCTGCAGGCAACTAATTCTAGCAGGTTATTGGACAAGATGGATTTTTTTTAGCTGCACAAGGCCGACAATTCCTATTATCTTGTTACTGTGTGAGCCTTGACTCATTATTATATAAGTCACTGGTTTATATCCTTTGGAGTTAATTGGTTTGAAAGTCTTTGAATTCTATAACCTTATAAAGCTACATCTCAGCCTCCTGCTTTGCTCTTGCCTAAGAAATGTGGCAGAGAACCGTGGGATTCCCAGAGATGCTTTTGGGAGAGTTGGGTGAAGAATCCTTACAACGTGCAGGAGTTTGCCATGTGTTTTGGCTGATGACAAGCTCTCTGTTTCCAGCTAAAAAGAATAAATTCCATCTTGTAAAATTGCCAAGCTCTTCAGTGAGACATCTCGCTGATGTCAGCACTGCTGAAGGCGTGACAAGGCCTCCTAGCTTGCTGCACATGCATTTTAAGGCCAGATTCTTCCATCTGGGCACTCAAAAATGTGGGGAAAGGGAGCAAAAATGTCTTCCTTATAGGAAGGGAGTTATAATCTCACTATGAGATAAAATCCTTCACACTGTTTGCACCTTTAAAAGCGTCCAATGTTCACTGAAGTCAGAAGGTATTTTTCTCTAAAGCCTGTCAGTCAAAATAGGGAAGCTGTGCTTCTCTGAATATGCAAAACCTGGCACTTCTGAGTCTACCAAAGCTCATCCTTAGTCCTAAATTCCTGCCTGTCCATTCTCTCTGCACCATCCCATGTACTGGGAAGAAACTTGCTCTCCTTGCCCTGACCCCACTTTCATAACAAGCATTGGTGGAGAAAGTCCTGGTGCTCCAGATCAGCTCTGTTTGCCTCAGCCCATTTTAATAAGGCTCTAAATCCAGTGTGAGCTGCCTCCCTGTAAGTTTACTGAGAAAAGGCACATCCATGTGTGTGTGCTCAAAACACTGCTGCCTGACCACACTGCACAACTGAGCCTTGAATGTGTTGAAACTGCAAATACAGAACATTTGCTTTCTGGAGGAGCGTGCCTGAGCAGACCCAGAGCTGCATTTCTCAAAGGGCTAGCTAACAGCCTTGGCTCTTCTGAAATTTAGCAAATCAAAGACATTTGTTAAAATATAAAATGAAAGTAATATGGAAATAAAGATGCATTTATTTTGTTATTATTGCCTCTTTAATATTAATAATTATTACCTCTTTTAATTTATTATTACCTCTTACAACCATGTAGGTTTCAAAGGTTTCATGCTGATGGGCAAGTTTATTATGTGAAAGACTCCAATAAACATTTCTCAAATTAAATTTGGACTGTAGCACATGTCAAGGAGCAGGTTACCCAGCAAAGTTGTGCAGTCTCCATCCCTGGAGGTATTCAAGTTGAGAGTGGATAAGCATCTGAAAAATCTGGTCTGACCTTATAGCTGATCCTGCTTTGAACAGAAGGTCTAAAGACCTTCCTAAGGATATTTAAGACCATCCTGGATCTTGGTTTTATACTTGCAGTTGTCAAAGACCTTTCTTCACAAAAAAAAACCCACATTATTGACTTAACCTCCAATCAGAGGACAAAGGATTGAGCTTATCTGCCAGGGTTCAAATCAAAAATGATCCTGCTATGATTTAAACTCTGAATCCTAGATTGCAAACTCTATCTGAGTACAATTTGTAGAAATTATTTTTAATAATGACATTTAGGGATACCCTAAATAAAGATACCCTGCATTCCTTTGAATTTATCTCCCAAAGTCTTAAATTTTAACTGTCAGTCTCAGGCCTTAACTACAGTCTGAATTGAACTGAACAAGGGTTCTGACACCTAAAGCATTTAAATAATTTATGATTGATGCTGTTTGGGTCATGGGAAAGGATGCTCTTGAAAGAAGGGCCCAACTTCATTCTAAAGGGTTTTATTTCCTTTAATGAATATCAGTGAACAAAATGTCCATTACACTCAGCCTCCATTGTGAGCTGCGTGCAGTCCACACAGCAAATGCACTGACACATAAACAAGTTAGAGGAGACTTTTTAAATAATGGTGTGCTGCAGAGCACAGAGCCCTCAGCCACAAGGACTGAGCCTTGTGATTCACTTTGTACAGGCACTAATAATATTGGGAGGCCTGCAAGTCTGTGAGACATCCAAGTTAAGCAGCATCTTCTTTTAAAGGGTTGACTGGTCCCAGAATGTCCATGTTGAGCTCTTCTCTATTGTTATGATCAGCTCTCTTAAATAAGCAATTTCCTTAGCTGACTGATCTCTCTAGGGAGATTTTGTAACATGTTTCTGCTCCAAAATCAAAACAGCCTGATGTGAGATTGAGCTAATGATTTATAGCAGACAGGGTGTCAGATGGAAGTAGACTTCTGTTGCCAAAGCTGTTAAATGAGCCAACGATGAGCTTAGTGTAAAATATGCCTGATTTAGGCAAGGTAGAGCCCTCAGTTTACAGTGACAGCAAGGAATATTAATTTCTTTTGTGCCATTTATTGGATTTATTTGATATACTTATCAAAATTATGATTCTGAACATTTAGCTGTGTGACAGTCCCAGGTCTGTATCCACCTTTGAAAAAGAAACTTGGTTTTCCTACTGGCTAAAGCTGTGTACTATGGCAGAGGCCAAAGGATAACACAGAATTCAACAAGGGTGTCTGGCACTAGAGAAATAATCTGTTCTGCAGCTATGTCACAAACTTGCCACATGCTTTTGGGCTTATTGCTTCATGTTTCCATGCCTACTATTGAGGGGCTTTTTGATGATCAGTGTTAAGTGAATATTTGAATATTAGTGCTGTCTTTTATTTTTTTTTTTAAGACAGAAGTAGAAACACACGTACTGCATAACTGGGGGCTGATTTTGCCCAACCTTGTTTGTCTTTTATCAATCCTTTGGGATTTTTACTGTTCCTGATGTGGTATTTTGTGTGTATATATGTATATCTATTTATGTATATGTACATAACTGGGGGCTCATTTTGCCCAACCTTGTTTGTCTTTTATCAATCCTTTGGGATTTTTACTGTTCCTGATGTGGTATTTTGTGTGTATATATGTATATCTATATATGTATACGTATTGTACACACACACACACACACACACACACACATGTCATGGTGATTAGTAAGCTCTGTGGTAGATACATGCAAAAGAGAAAGAGCAATGTCATTAGACCCTGAGAGGCCTAAAGTTAAAAGTTATGGTGTTTTTATTACTCTCAGCGTTGGTGCATGTACTGTGATTTGCAGCCTTCTCTGCTGTTGAAAAGTCATAAACCAAGTACTCAAGGACATACATATACATATATACACACACAGGCATGCAAGTAGTATACCTTGAAAGGCATGCAAGTAGTATACCTTGAATTCACTAATACCTGCTCCTCTGCTCCATTCCATACTTGACTTGGGATGGAGAAGTTACTTTTCCTGAGGAAGGTGTTACTTCTCTGCCTTTAGCAGAATCTGTGAGAGCCCAGTCTTTCCAAGCACAAATGAAAAAATACAAGTCTACTTGAGAGTAAGGTCTGATCATTACTAACTCCAACAGTCATTTAATGTAATGGTAGGATTATTAATTGCTGCTATGAACAGCTTGGTTCTGCTTCCACAAGTCACATATACGCAAGCTATATTAGCATTTGTTTTCTCCCCCGAAAC